ATATTACTCTGTTTTTGCCGGTGAACTGGATCTTTGGGGTGAACTAATCTTTGTCGTAACGTGTTTTGGTGTTTGAAAGCCACTGGGACGTCATGTCATCTTCTAAAGAAGAACCATCCAGAGGACCTACTAATTTTTTGTTTTAGATTTTTTCTACGTGGATTACTGAGATGCATCAGGACAGCTTAATGAATGTTTGCTGCTGTGGTGTCTCGCAGCTCACAAGCTTTAATTGCTTTTTGTCCTGAGAAGCTGTGGAGTTTAGTTTGTGACACCAGAGAGAACTCCTCCACGTCCWGTGGTTTCTGTTCCTGTCAGAGTCTGTGGATCAGATCTGTCTCTAAAGGTTAGTTTGTGTTTGYTCATAAAAAGAAACATGTCTCCCTGCAGATTTTCACCTTCGGCTGGAGGGAGGACATTCGAGCCGGAGACCCCATGCACACCAAGAAAGTTTGTTTTGACGCCGTGTCCCACAGCAGCCCCGTCACGCTGTACGACTGCCACGGCATGAAGGGCAACCAGCTGTGGCGCTACAGGAAGGTGAGCTAGCTGCTGCACCGCTCCCACAACTTCCTGCTCCTTTTTCATTTTAAAAACAGATACTGTAAAAAAGAAACATTATTCTGTTTTCATTTTATACTCTAAAAACTGGGAAACAATCCGTCTTTTTATTATTGTTACACTGAAACGTTAACCCGATGCTGTCCTGCTGAAGCTTCTGCAGCTTCCTGTTCCTCATCCTGGAGCTGCTGGAGAAAAGCTTCATGAGCTGAAAGCAGCCGAAGCTGCAGGAAACTGTTTGAATCATCAGTGATAAACTATCAGCTAAGAGCTGGTAAAGAAACGTTAGCTAGTTAGCTCGTGTTTGTTTGTTGCAGCTGCCTGGTTAGCTGGGTATAAAGTAAAATGTTTATTCAGACCATTTAAGGTGGAGCTAGAGAAACAGTTTGTTTAAAAGAAGTTGGCTAATCTAGCTGTATTAATAAATAATACAATCTGCAGTTAGGTAAAGAAATGCTAGCATAGTTAGATAGCATTTATTTATTTACAGGAAGCCGTCTGTTCTTAAAATAATTAAATTCACTCCACCTTAATTCTCTGATAYCTGCAGTGTTAAACTTCCCGTTTGATAAAAATAAAAAGTCTCGTTCGTTGTTTTAAAACTAAATTTGACCCAAAAACAAAATATATATATACTACACGAACCCTTCTCCCTGTTAGATATGCTGTAAAAATGTTTGTCTAAACAAGTCCTTTAATCGTATATCAGCCAAAAAAATTTTTTATCTTGTTTTCAGACTGGTTTACTGAGCAAGAGCACAATATGTTGGATTATTCATCTTGTTAGCCTGAAAAATGTTTTTATTGTGAGATTAATTTAGAAGATTCAGACTCAGATTAAATGAAATAATCTGCTAATAGAATAAGACAATCACAATAGGTAAGAATTTCCAGGCTAACAAGATAARTCTAGCATGTTTTGCTCAGTAAGTCAGTCTGAAAACAAAATAAAAATACTGWGTGGCTGATAAAAGATTAAATGACTTGTTTCGACTGATGTTTTTTACAGTGTAGTTTTCCACCATGGTTCATTTTTGTTGAATAAACAGTGTTTTGTTGAACTTTGTGTAGTTGTGTAGCTCAGACAGGTCAGTGTGAGCTGCTGTCCTCTCCTCCTGCAGGACCAGAGTCTGTATCACCCGGTCAGCAACAGCTGCATCGACAGCAGCCTGAGCGAGCGGCGCCTCTTCATGAACACCTGTGACCCCGCCTCCCCCAGCCAGCGCTGGCACTTTGAGAAGACCAACGCCACCGTGCTGGAGCACTTCAACCGCGGCGCCGGCGAGCGGGCGTAGAGCTGCTGGACCGGGTCGTTTGCTGTTCGCCTGACCCCGAGGTGACAGAAACGGGCCGGGACCCCCCTGAGGGTCTGAAGAGACTTTCAGAGAGGACTCTTTGGTGTCACAGCGGGTCTGTCTCACTTCCTGACTTTCCTCCTCCTCCTCGATCCTGTCGCCTGTTCTGTTGCCTTTTAGCCCCGCCCCCTCTCACTGTGTGCCTCCATCGCCTGCATGACTGCACCTCAGACCAGCCTTTCCATTCGCTACCTTTTTAAATCCCCACGTTTTCCTGGTGCAGTCAGGCTGGACTTCCTGTCTTCATAGAGCAGGGTGACACGTTTTCCTTCAGCTCTGCTGCATCTCGAGCACCTAAATATTCTCACTTTTATCTGAGTTTTTAGTTACTTTATTAGTGACGAAACAATTCAACCTGCAGAAACATTTCGAAGATTTAAAATCAGTACGTCATCTTTTTCCTTCACTCAGTTTTTYTTATTTAAAGATAAAATACCTGTTGTGTTTTGTCATTTAGAGAAAAGCTAAAGCAGTTYGTTAACACTGTGGACTGTACGGACTAACAACCGGACAGCTGTTTGACTTGAATCATACTGAAAAAAAACCGTGTTTGATCATGTGTCCTGCAAATGATTTGGACACGTTCTGCCCCGCCCCTAATTCTGATCTCTGACTGTTAKTTCCTGYTCTCACAGTCTCAGTCTGACTGCACCAGGGTTGTCCTCTGCTGCTTCCCGGGTCAGTCACYGGAGCGACCCGGTCACAGACCGCCCATCGCCGGGTCTGGTCTCCAGCAGCCGAGCTGACGCATCACTCAGGCATGCAGCTGACGCATTGCTAAGAGATGCAGCTGATGCATTGCTAAGAGATGCAGCTGATGCATTGCTAAGAGGTGCAGCTGATGCATTGCTAAGGTGTGCAGCTGACGCATTGCTAAGAGATGCAGCTGATGCATTGCTAAGAGATGCAGCTGATGCATTGCTAAGGCGTGCAGCTAATGCATTGCTAAGAGATGCAGCTGATGCATTGCTAAGAGATGCAGCTGATGCATTGCTAAGAGATGCAGCTGATGCATTGGTAAGAGATGCAGCTGATGCATTGCTAAGAGATGCAGCTGATGCATCACTCAGGCGTGCAGCTGATGCATTGCTAAGGCGTGCAGCTGATGCATTGCTAAGAAATGCAGCTGATGCATTGCTAAGGCATGCAGCTGATGCATTGGTAAGAGATGCAGCTGATGCATTGCTAAGAGATGCAGCTGATCTATTGCTAAGGCATGCAGCTGATGCATTGCTCCGTTGCTCAGATCTGTGGGAGTACTCTGGGTGTGCAGGATAAAACTGTGACTGATGAATGAAATCTTAGTGCCTTGATGTCAGACTGGACATGGACTGTTAGCTGACAGCGTTTGATTCGTCAGATCGTTGCTTTGCTGGAGATTTTCTGTGACTTTAGGCTCAAACATCTTTCAGAAGCGAAGCTGAGATGTCCTGAGCTGCAGGACAGTGAACGCACCGCTGGCTTCTAAAAGGTAAAAAGAGCTAAAAAAAAAAAAAAAAAAGAGGCTGCTCTTGCCAGGATGCTGTTGGGTTGTTCTGTTTCTCTCTGATCACTCCAAAGTGTTTTATTGTGAAAGGGAATCACTGGTGTTCACCTCATCCTCCAGATCCTTTAAGTTTGATTTGTTTCCTGTTTTAATGTCTTGTTTTGTTTTTTTCGGTTGTGGTTCAGCTGAATGTATTTAACATGTTTGACATTGGGCTGTGGGAGGTTCACACGGTTTCTTTCTTTTCTTTTMTTTTGAAAGAAAACTAATATCCAGTTTATTGCTGCTTCAGTCAACAGATTTGTTTAAAACAAACTGATTTTTCTTTGTTTTTCATATCGAGCACTTTTATTTGCRTCACAAATGTTTTGAACAAAAAGTGATGTGGCAACATTTTTCTTTTGTAAATTCCAAACCTCTGGTTGTTAAATAGATTWATTTGAAAAGATGTGATTATTCCACAGTGATTTGTGGATGTAGAGGATAAACAAACAGTTTTCAAACGTTGGATTGAAATGCACTCAGAAATAACTGTTTTCTGTATATTTATTAGTTTTACCCACGTTAAACTTCTGGAGACAGAATCATTTTAATTCTTTTTTAAACCTCCTCCTCCCAGCATCTGTAGCAAATCATTACACAACCTCCTCCGTGCTTCACTGGTAAACTTCATGTGCACTTAGTGACTTATACTAACTTATCTTTTAATACATTTCCATCTTTTTTCAGCCAAAGTTTAAAGAAAATCAGATATTTTCTGGTTGTTTTCACAGAAAATGTTTGTGAAAGTTGTGGAGAAGCTCTTATTTCCACTTCAGCAGCTTAAAACTGTCGGTTCTTCATCTGTAGCTTTGTTTTTACAACATCCTCATGATTCTCATCTCTAATCTTTATTTTTGCAACAGTTTACAACAAAGAAACAATCTGGTTGTTTAATCTTGGTGGAGTTTTTAATAACAGACGATGAGAGGTAATCYAGTTTGAGACGTTTGACCGCTCGGTGTTATTTCCAGGGAGCGTTTTCACTTTTGTTTTCTAATTTAAAAAGGCACATGAGTGCTTCATTCTTACTGTAAAGAGCTGCAATCTTAAGCTGCAGGCAACCCAGCTTTGGTAAATCCAGCGTGCGCTGCTCAGCAGGGCTGCAGAACCAGAAGGTTTACCAGCTGAACAGCTGGATATTTAGCTTAGGTGTTGGTCCGGACCTGAACAGCTTAACACAGGATAAATAATGGATGATGAGCARATGTGTGAAACATGTCTGCTCTGAACCTCGGCAGCTTTAGAGCGGCTGGCTGCAGTTTGAGTTTAGCTCCCACACATCAGCACAGTTTAAAGAAACCAGATGATCTAAAATGAATTAGTTGATTCTTTAACTCTAAAATGCTTCTTAGTTTGAATAATTGGTCCTGAAATAAGTTCTGACCATTTCCTTCATCCATCTGTGAAACATGAAACTCTGATTTTCACAGTGATGCTTTACATTTAGAACCAGGGATGTTGTCTAAAACTGAATGAAAACCAAAAGCATTGATTTACACACCTCATTTCTTATTCACAGTGGAACATTCAGATGTTTAAACTAAACTTTAAACCTAAATAAGTTGAAGATCTGTTCAGAGGTCAAATAAATCTCAATTTAAAGAGGGAGGGGGTTGAAAATAGACTCTTTGAGCTTTATATGATGTTAAAAAGTCATTCCCTCATGTTGGTTGGACTCGTTCATGTTGGAGGAATCCTTGATTCTCTCATAGCCATGTGGAGGTGCCTAAATCCTTGTTGGTACAAAGCTCCGCCTATTTACACAAAGCTCCTCCCTGGAGCTCTTGATGGGTCTTGGAGAGGAGACAATGTCTCCTTCTTGGTTTGGAGGCATGGACCAGACTTACAGCCACCTGGGGTGGCCTGTGTGGCCAAGTCCGGCGTGTCTCCTCCAGGAGACAGGGGCGGGAGCCTTTAGCTYGGCCTCTAGCTGCCTTCCTTCCRGTGGTCRCTCCCTTYRTGAACCCYGACCTCTGGATCAGCGCAGTAGCTCAGGACGCCTCCAGCAGCCGGTCACCACCGTTAATGGCAGCCGCTCCCTCTTAGGATCTGTATTTCTTACAGTGACCGAGATAATGTTCAGTGACCTGGACAGCAGGTCTCAAGGGAACTGTTAAAGGGAGTTTTCCTATCTCCCCAGGCTAATAACAGTTAAAAATGAACTTATTATTAAGTTGTGACCTCTTACCATTACCTTTTGGCTTCAAAGTAAACACACTCATTAATATATTAACATCTTGTTGCTTTGAAGTAACAACACACTCATGTAATCAGAGAAAAACTTTAAAAACCATTGTCCAGTCGTGGAATTGTCTTTATGATGCTGTAAGCAGTTTAATAGAAATTTGCAAGAAAAGCCACATTTGATTATACAGATTAAAAATATTGAACAATAATTGATGGTGATAAAAATAAAAAGATCTAAGGCGCTGACCTAACCTTGTGACTAAGGCAGTGTGGCATTTTCTATTAATTTGGACGGCAAGGAATTTGGAGTTGAGTTGTATTTACCTCCATGAAAAGCAGCAGACTGTTGCCAGAGAGAACTTCTCAAAGCTGGGTTGTTTAATCTGGTCTTTGGCCTGTAGGTTGCTGGAGAGCAGTGGGGCAGCTTATCCCAGCTGAGATGTCTCTTGGATCTGGTGCTCTGCTTCGTAGGCTGTCCTTGCCCTTGCTGCCTCTTCTCCAGATGGGACCAGAAGATGACTTACTGCTGAAACTGCTCCCTTTTTATACTGATTTTGGGCCATCTTACCCCCCTTCCTGCCATCCTGTGATAGGCTGGGGTTTTCCACCACTGGACTTTTTGTGTACTTTCCAGAGTGAAGTAATTTTGCTGATYCTTGTAATAGGACTCTCAGGGACTTTCCGTGGTGAGGTAAACCACCTTGTTTCCACCACAGGGCCTCTGAGACTTTCCAGACAAAAACCCCACTTCTCCTTTTTCTATTGTTCTTCTGTTTTGCAGAAGTACAGTCTGTCCTTTTTACCATCCAAATGTAGCACACACACCCTTTCTTCATTTTAAGACGTACAACAGCACTTTTCTTAAATCACCATCTTACATTAAAACACATTAATTAGTACATTAGTCACAGTACATTAGTTAAATCACACTTTGCAATAAGCATATAATCATCACACTTGTTATTTATTTGCCAGCATTAAAATCAATCAAAATTAATACTTATYACTCCTTATTACTCCTTCACTTTCTTCTTCCTGCTTTTCTCTTCTCTCGGGCCCATTATTCCTGCATCTCAGTCTCTCTTATGACCACTCCTCCTCTCTGTTGGGGGTCAAAGGCGGGCTCCGCTGGCCTGTTTCCAATCCTTGTAATGGTTGGCGCAGCAAGGTTTCTTGACATGAGAACAAATGTTTCTAATCCGAAAGGTCTATGTGAGTTTTAATGTGTACATTTTGTATCTGAAGAAAAAATCTCCAATATTTTTTCTACTGACGTCGCAGCTGTAAAGGTGTATTTAGATATTTAACAAACTGTGCAATCAAACTGGAAATGTATCATATTTTTTGCTGAAATTGTAAAATAATAAAGTTTCTATATTTGGATGAAAATCTGTTTCCAAAATGATTTATTTAAAAAAACTGCATTGTTATGAGGAATGTGTATCACCCGCCAACTTTTAGACAGAAATCATAAAGACTCAACAAAAGGTTCACAAACAGCTTCAACTCTGTCAGTCTTACAGAGTCAGTTTAAATTTGGTAGGAAGCTATGGAGGAGCAAAACTGACATTTACTTACTTGTACATGTATTTTAGTCTGCAAAAATAATTATATTTAATCATTCAATGGATTTTCCCACATATCTTTATTTCCATGTTTTTTTTTCATTTCTTTGTCCTAGTTTTACTTTACATTAAACATTTCTGCCTCATTATGTAAATAAGGTGGGTGGAGCTTCTTGGGCCAGCTCCTCTCCTATTGGTCAACAGACGAGAAGGAGCAGGATCCATGTGCAGATCTACTGTGCTGCTGCTGCCTTAGTTTAGTGTATGTTTAAAGTTTAGTTAAAAACAAAAACAAGGAGGGAAACATTTACCTTTGTCTTTATTTTTAA